AAAAAAAAGATCCTATAAAATCTGAGAATTTTTTTTCTGAACCAAACTAATTCACTAAAAAGTATCATATTGACCAACACTACAAGAGAGATTGCAAAGCATTTTTTTCGTGTTATTTACATACTTTTATAATTTTTTTTTTGTTTTAGTTCTAGTAGTTTTGTTGTGCTTTTTATAATTTTCTTAGTTTTTAATATTTCTATATTAGCTTTATTTTAGTTTTAGTGTTAGTAATTTTAGTACTTCAGTTTATTTCAGTTAGTTGCCAAGGCAAGTACACACACACATTTTTATACACGCGCACACACACACACACACACACACACACACACACACATATATATATATATAATACTCACTGCCTCAACCCATCCCCCACTCTCTCTCTCTCTCTCTCTCATGCACTCGGGGATGGAGAAGAAAAAAAGAGCACTAATTTGCAGGGCTATGAGATGCACTGAATGGACCTCTGAGAGCGGTTAGAACCTCTTATCATTTATTTATTGAGAGAAGCTGGTAACACTGAAAATCAAGGAGAGAGACTGAGATCAGGATCAACACTTGCCGATTAAAGGACTTTAATAATTTAAGCCATTGCACCCTGAATGAATATGAAAGGTGTGATGGTAATTAAAATAGATGCAAATGGTTGCTAATCAGTCAGCAAATTCAGATTTTCCCAGATTAAATGTTTCCTAATTAAGCAGTAAATGACTATTGGATTATCTGCATTCTGTGTCAGTTGGCAGTATTGCCACGTGGTGAGTGAGGAGGAGGAGGATGAGGGTATCTGTCGAGGTTTGGGGCAGCAGAAGGCTCTGGGGGGGCTCAAAGAGGTGCGCGGTCCAAGTATCCCTTCCTAGCCCCCCACATCTGTTCTGCTGCACTTAATCCGTTTTAATTTTCACACTGTGTCATTTATGGATTGTCAGTTTCCTCTTCTGGGCCTGTGAAATCTGTTTTTGCCCTACTCTAATCGAGTTAGTCTGACGCTTTCTCTAAGTTCATTCTTGTTACCACCCACTGCTGTCACAATACATTCATTATAAATGTGATAAAGCCAAAGCCACAGAGACAATCTCCCTCCCACTCTCAGCATTGTGTGCACTGTTGTTTTCTTCTAATACTTCTATTGCCATTATTAACATATACGTGACATATGGAAATGGAACTGGGTGAAAATGGGAATATTAGTGCAGTCACCAAGTGAATATACTGAGACATTTTCCAACAGATACAGAGGTTACAGAAATTTCAAGCCTTTTTATTGAATGATCTCTTGTTTTGTATTGCCAATAATGGAGTCCTCATTACTTCTTGCTTTCTCTTCCTCTGTATCTGTCTACAGCCCCTGCCGAGTTTGTGCAGCCCCCTCAGTCCATTGCTCGCCCGGTGGGCACCAATGCCATCTTCACTTGCTTGGCCCAGGGTGAGCCGGTCCCACAGATCACCTGGCTGAAAAATGGACAAATCTTAGAGCCCGATGGCCATGTCAAACTCAGGAACAACAACAGGTGAGCTGGAAAAGACCAGTGTTATTTATGTACTAGTATGTATTTATGTACTCTGTTTATATTATTAATATTTTTATTTTTGTACTTTTTGTTTTAGTCATTTTGTTATGTGCTTTTGTCTTTTTTATTTATTTTTTATTTCAGTTTTAGTTTTGGTCAACTCAGGGGCGTAGTGTCTGGATATACAGGGTATGCACATGCATATGGACCCGGGCTGATTGGGGGTCTGTCGAGGGCGACCATTTAATTAAAACGAGGGAACGAATTCTTAATTTGTGGCCTAAATAAATAAATATATTGTCTGCATATCATGTGCAGGGCTCGGTAAGTTCTTGTGTGCATTTGTTATATTGCTGTTGTAGAACTGTGTCATTTTTTTAAACCTACGTGCAAATGCTGCATTGCCATGGCCAAATAAAATAATATTTAATAATTACAAAAAAAAAAAAAAAACCTGTTTGAGATTGGTAGCTAGCTAGTTGAAAAGACTTTATAACAATTGTATCACATAGCTTCAGCGACACCTGCACCGTTTTAATTCTCTTTATATCATTTTAATGATCTTTTATCGAAAGACTGTCAAAAGTTAGCCATTCTTTCCACTGAGAATACACGAAGCCTTAAATTAAATACCAAGGACATTGTAGATGAATTTGCCAAAAGAAAGGCCCGGAGAATTAAATTAATTACAACTAAAATGAGTGAGTAGGGTTTTTTTCCCCTTTCTTTCTTTCTTTCTGTCTGTCTTTTTGCGTTTTGGGCAGCTGTGCCAAGAGTGTGTTTGCATTAAGTAATTTTGTAAATATTGCAGCATTTTAGTGCCATAATGTTTTTAGAATAAAGTCAAATTACGAGATTACGAAAGTTGTGATATGTTGCGTGAATAAAGTTAATCAATGTGAAAATTCCACCTACTCACAAAAAAAGGTCTGTGGCGGTTAACTGACTGATTTATTCAAATAATAAAACAATGTTGTCAAAGTTATATTGTTGCCGTTTCTGTGTTACGACTATTCACAGGCTGTTTTATTGATGATTTTCGAAACACTGATTGATCGACCGATTAGCCTACATGAGACATTCGTTTAAGTTGTTCAGATTTTTTTCAACATGTCTTCTGATATTCATTCATGTTTATCTCGTGCTGGAACTAATAGAAAAATAGAAGATTGATTCATGTGTCACTTGAACTGAACACGAAAAGAACGGAAAAACAAATTTATTTTTTGTATTTCGTGAGAAAATTGACAACCTGTAGGCTACGATTTGTGTTATATAAAAAGTAACAAAACATGCTTATTGCAATTATTGGGTGGCTGGTGCACTACAAATAATGAATATATTTGAAATGTTAAATATTATTTCCAAGCATTTATACGGAAATAAAACAGCTTGTGAATAGTCATGTAATGTTATTTACCTAAGAAAAGACATCAATAAGGAGCATTGGAGCCTACGTTAACCTATAACTTTTGGGGGGGGGCATACAAAAGTTTTTGCATATGGGCCCGGAGCTGACATGCTACACCACTGGGTCAACTTCATCTTCAAACTTATTTCAGTTAGTTGCTAAGGCACCATTTCTAATTTTAATTTTTCAAAGTTTTCCATCTATTATTTATTTTTTACAAGCAAAAGGGATTAAGCCAAGGGAGAGTGTAATATGCTAATAAGTAGCACTACCATATCAAATTTCCATAACAGAGCAGAAGTGTCAGTGCTGAAAAGCCCTTGATTTTAAGTACAAAAAGCCTAGTTGAAGATGTCTCTTTGGTTGTTTTCTAGAGATTGTGATTGATCCTGGTTCATCCTATCCAACACCAGGTATCGCCAATTCAGACGGGTGTGGGGGTGTGTGTATATGTAAGAGAGATAAAGATGTGGCAGGTTGCTTTAGGCTGGTGGTGAGACATGAAGAATATAAAAGAAAGGACCATAATCTCTAGGACTAACTAGATAGTAAAAATGCTTGTAGGCTGCAGGGTTTTAAAATGAATGAATGCATACACTGAACACCCTTATATGTTCCCATTCACTCTGAATAATATCACGGCAATATCATAACACTCCTACCATTTGTCCGAGATCACAAACCGCATGCAAATATATCATAAAAAAGAAGGTGGAGCTTAGAAAGAAAGAATCACAGTAAGCTG